CCCTTAGAGGACAATAGTTAGAACCCGTCTACTATTCCTACTCTTAGATACCGATGGTGTACGTCTGTATGGAAACATATTTTTCGTTATAACATTACTCTGAAAAACTAACATTTTGTAAAGATACGTAAAATTCCACATTGAATATACTGCCTAAACTCATTTTTAAAAAGAGAATAACAACAGACAGATTTTATTGTCGCTGACGCTTCTTTAGATATAAAAAAGATATCATTAAAGTGCATTCTTATGTACATATGTCATTGCATAGTTTAATATAGGCTTAATTACAAAGAAAATTAACTCGCATATTTGTAAAAATAAATAAAATTCGACATGAAAGAAAAAATAAATGAATAAAAAAATGAAAAAATAAAAATAAATAGTATATAAAAATAATAAAATAGAAAACGCATGAATGAAAAGGAGCTTTAAGCAGTCATCGCAATCCTCGCAGTCATCGCATCAAAAACCGTCTGAGGATGTTTTTCTTCAACATTAAATAAGAATTATAAAGAATATTATTTAAGAGGAATTATTAAGAATAAAAATGTATGTTTATGTTACTCTATGTGAAATTAATAAACAATATTGCTCGTCGATGATGCATTTGAGACACAGTATAAAGAATTTGGATTTCTAAACGTGCTTATTCGCAGTAATACATGGTGTATCAAGCATAAGACATAGCAGATATACACATATAAACATATCAATGTGTGTGATTCGAAGTTTGATGATTAATAATTTTAAATCTTCCTACATGTCATTGTGCGATTCATAGTGTTACTGATGGAACATACAGTGAAATTCATCCACACATAGACGTTGTGAAACATATATTACTTCAATGTGATAAAATGTAATTGTGATATCTATATTAAAGTAAAATTGCACACACATAGAGGCAAAATTGAAATAACTTTTGTGAGTTATGTTCAATCTATATTTCTAATTTTTTATATTTAACATTTAATATTTATTTTAATAGTATTATCTTGGGTGTGGGAAAAAGTTCGTAGCGTTTTTTCCACTAGATGGCATTAAATGCTCAGCAGTCGGTACTAATCACATCGACAACATTAAACCTGCGTTTAAAAAGTGATATTTCAACCTTCATTTTGAGCCGAAAAAGATTGAAATCGGTGAAGTGAATTAAAAATTATTTTATTTTGAAAATGGAAATAAATAAGAAAAAAATTCGCTACATTTTGCAGATTTGATGATAAAGGCAAGAACACTGCATAGGCTTGTGAAAAAATTTGTGCTATTTACGGTAAAAATACTCTATCAAAATTAGCAGCACAGAAATGGTTCGCTCGTTTTCGTACTGGAAATTTCGATGTGAAAGAT